CCCCAAAACCAGCAGGCCCGGGGGAGAGATGGGGAAGAAGGGCGGCGGGTCCAGCGGCTGCTGAGGCAGAGGCTCCGGCTCCTCCTCCTCCCGCGGCGGCGACTGGTACCTTTGTTTGGCGGCCGCTCGGGCTCCCTGGTTGGGGGGAGGGGGACGACGAAAAATCCCTCCCGGACTGGAGGTCCGGGCCCCCAATCGCGCTGCCCTCCAGAGGACGGCGGCGACAGACCCTCTGCAGCTCCCTCCGGGCAAAGGTCCAGGCGGTGGCCGTGGCGGCGGCAAGCTGAAGCTCAAGAGTCTCCCTCCGCTCCGGCGACCGAGCTCCTCACTCCGGACTCGACTGACGGGCAAACATCGCTTCCCCCCGACTCGAGGTCCCCCCGCCCGCCTCCTTTCTCCCCTCCCCTAGATTTTTTCCCCCTCCCCTACCTCTTTCCCGGATGGCCTCTTAGACGACCTCGGATTGGCTAAAGTTCTTTAGAACCCACCTATACACTGTTCCTATTGGTCCCTGCATACAAACAACGACGCCATTTTCCCACCAGTTCTATGGAAACAGAAAGTTACGCCTCAAAGCTTTCTGGGAAATGGAGTCCAGTTTCTTGGGCCAACGCGCAAATCCTCGTCCGCAAGAACTGCAAGGCCCGCAATGCCCCGCGCCTGCGTGGGACCGGAGTGGGGGGAGGTGAAAGGGGCGGGGCAACAGAGCAGTGGGGAGGCGGCAACGACGCCTGCGCAGTGTGACCGGGATGGCGCATTTTCTTGCACCGAGTAATGCGGTGTCGCTGGCGGCTGAGGAGGGTGGAGCGTTCTGTGGTGAAGTAGTGGGAAGGATTCTTGTAGGCAACAGGAAGAGCCTATGTCCGCACTATAAAGTAGGAAGTTGATGCAGGGCGCTGCTACTCCCGGACCGGCGGCGTCAAAGTCGTGATATCATCGTTGAACCGTGAGCGGCAGTGGCGGCGGCCGGGGGGAACCCGGATGGGAAGGAGGGCGGGGGAGGCTGGGAGGCGGGGCGAAGAGGAAAGAAAGAAAGGAGGGTGAGGACCCGGATGCTGAACCGGATTGTGTATGAATTTTCCATCCCCTCGCTTGAGGCGGGGAGGAGGAAGGGGTGGCCTAGTGGGGCGGAAGGGGGCATCTGAGCGAGGAGGAAGCAGAAGCCTCACCGTTTCTCCCCGCTGCGGGCTCTGTGCTAGCACTGCTAATGTTTGCAGCTCTCTGCCCAGCCGCTGTGGAAAATCAGCCTCGAAGTGATTCACATTCACTGCTTGTATTGGGCAGCTTCTTTCAGATCCCATCGCTCCCCAGAGTTTGAGTGGAAGGATTCAGTATGCGCTTCACATTTGTATGTCTCTGTTTAGCCATTCTAAAGTCAGGCCCTTCTCTTTACAAAGAGAAAGCGTTTCTATGGGTTGTTCACTTTTTATAGCAAGGTTGTGTGCCTTGGTTTCATCGTCTAATGCGTTAGAAGGCGCTTTCATTTCTTCATGGATATTGAGCGCCGACCCTGTGGAAACACTGGGGTTGCCTCTGCCTTCGCAGACTTGCGCCTGGCCAGACGGACAGACGCTGAACGAAACAATGAAATTACCGCAGTGACAGTGCCACAGAGCAGAGTTCCGCGGTGATGGGAGAATGTGAACTAGGGAATTTGGCTTATTTAGGGAAGGAGAAGGCTTTCTTGAGCAAGTGAGGATCGAGCTGAGAGCTGAAGGGCTAGCAGGAGTTAACTAAGGAAAGAGAAAAGGAAAAGACATTCCAGACAAAAAGGCTAATTTGTCGGAAAGCCTTGTGGCCCAAGTGGGCTTTTCCAGTATGAAGAACTGACCCTGGAGAGGTGGGGTCAGGGGGAGTGTGAAAGCTTATAGGCTTTGCAAAGGAGTTTTGTTTTCGTCCTAATAGCAGTGGGATATCTTCCAAGGAATCTCAATCAGAAGGGAGAGATGACTCAGATTCCAATGTCATTCCTGGCTGAAGAGTTAGAGGAAGCGGGGGAAAAAAAAGAGTTAGGCAAGTGCAGGGAGTTGGAGGAGGAGGCTATTGCAGTAGTAGTTCACTTGGTGAAAAGAATGAAGTGTTTGTATTAATCTTTATGGATTCAGTCTTTGAACAAATTTCTGATAGCTTTTTAATTTTGAAAGTGAGAAGTTTCAGACTGAGGTATTCTGTAGTTCACTCTAAAAGGAAACTAATAGAGTTCATGTAACACACACTATTGCCTCTTTACATTCAAGTTTAGTACATGATAGCTGAAAATTCCAGCTGTGATAAATTGGGAAATCCTTTGACTTAGAAAAACAAAGGCAGGTAAGAGTATATGCCATAGTGGGTAGAATCCCTCAGACTCTTAAGAAGACAAGGCAGATTGGTTGTTGATACCTAGAAAAATTGAGGTTATGTTTTCATACCACTGAAAATACTTGTATGTAAACATCCTCTGGGAAAGGAAATTAACTTGTTAAGTGAGTATTCTTAAGCATCTCTAAGTGAGCAAAGGAATAATACTTCTTTTAAAAAAAGCATAATTAGTGTTTTAAGTTGAAAAATAACCACAAAGCTGTTAAGAATTGAAACGAAGATAAGCATAATTAGTGTTTTAAGTTGAAAAATAACCACAAAGCTGTTAAGAATTGAAACGAAGATTACCTCTGATTTCTATGCAATAGGTACACCTGTTAGAGATCCCGACAAAAAAAGGGAATTCTGAAAGTGGATCTCATTGATTTTTAAGTTCAGTCAAATGTGTTGTGGAGGCTGTGAGAAAGATACAAACATGATTGTTGCTCCCAAGCTAGTTGAGAAAAAATAGGCACTAATATTTAAATAGAGAAGTATATGAGATGCTTTTTAAATTCTACCTTTAATGGTGTTCAATAATCTTTTACCTAAGCCATTATTCTATCTGCTTTGCATCTTCTTTCTTTAATCCCTCATAATAAGGTACCATGTTAGAGATCAAATCGTGTAAGTATTTTGATTATTTTGCTTATTTGATTATGAGCCTCTTTTTCCTTGTGATGTGTTTGGTATTAATGGCTAGTCAAGGTGGGTGTAGAAATTTTTCTTATAGGATGTTTCTCTTTGAATTCATGTTGTTAAAATGATTTCTTTTGGTGGGGTGCTGATTTTCCATGATTGTTTCATATAGATAATCAAGAACAGACTACAAACAATATGCTTTTCCATCCTGAAGAGTAACCTCAACTATACACCAGCTTCATGCTTTAATTTTCATTTGTAATCTGCCTTCAATAAAGAGTTAAGCTAGTGGAATTTATGTCTTAGCTTATTATAACACAAACATGAATATTTGTCTGCTTGGCATTGAAGGATAAAGATATTCCATAGCTGAGGATCTTAATCTGAGGTGCATGTAAAGGATTCAGGGACTACATGATCCCCGAGAAGTTATATGTAAGTCTTGGCTGTGCATACATTCTTGTTGGAGCATATTAGCACATAGATAGGCTTTTTTTTTTTTTTTTTTACAAGATTCATAGCTTTCATCATATTCTCAAAAGGTTCCTGTGACCCGTAAGATAGTTTACACTATGGGGAAGCATCAAAGTGCTTGCACAGTTGTTAGTTTTATGTGTGTGTTACTATTTCAGCCATCCATTATGTGCCTACCAGCTGCCTAACAATGCATGCATAATGTAGAAGTTTTATTCTTTTCTCCGGTTGCCATATTACACATCTCATTCCACAGCAGAAAAACAACTACATGACAGAGACGATGTGGTTCAAACCGTTTTACCCTTGTATTCATTGACCGCTACAAAACAGGAGCATCAAATTCCTGATTGTCACCAGATTAGGTAGTCTCAGCACTTCTACACATAATTGTGCTGGAAAAGTGGAATGCTAGCACTAATAATTAGATTTTGGTTTGGGGGGGTTTATTTGTTTATTTTTACTTCTATAAATTTATGGGGTGCAAGTATAGTTTTATCCCATTCATAGATTGCATAGTAGTGAAGTCGGGACTTTTAGGGTGTCCATCACCCATATATGAAACATTGTACCCATTAAATAATCTCTCATCATCCACCACCCTCCCACCTTCTCACCCTTTGGAATCTCCATTGTCTATCATTCCAGACTCTGTGTCCATGTATACATATTATTTTGCTCCCATTTATAAGTGAGAAGATGTACTATTTGTCTTTCTATGTCTGACTTGTTATTAAGGTAAGGGCTATCCATCCATTTTGCTGCAAATGACATGATTTCATTTTTTTTTTTATTGGCTGAGTAACAATTCATTGTATATATACCACATTTTCTTTATTCAGTCATCTGCTGATGGACACTTAGGTTGATTTCATATCTTTGCTATTATGAATAGTGCTGCAATAAACACATAAGTGCAAGATGCTGGAAGTTTTACTTTTGTGCAACGTTGTGGGTATTTACTCAGGATCTTCAGATTTGCTTGGCTGCATGTGTATGAATCAACGTGTTTGTTTACTGAAATATGTGCAAAAGTCTTGTGAATTGATTTATAATATAAATCCAAAAAACTCAGATTCTGCTAAGTGTATTTTACATTTTTTAATTTAATGCCAGCAAGAAGTTACAGTACTAGAGTTGCCTTACCCCTGAGAATGTCAGTGATGAGACCATCGTATCAAGTGACTGCGCTAATAACAGATGAGTTTTATTACTTAACATTATGAAGTACTAGGGCAAATTTAGAAATCAAAGAACACTGGTGAATCCCCGTCTCTACTAAAATACAAAAATTAGCTGGGCATGGTGGCAAGCACCTGTCATCCCAGCTAGTCAGGAGGCTTGCAGGAGAATTGCTTGAACCCAGGAGGCTGAGGCAGGAAAATTGCTTGAACACAGGAGGCAGAGGTTGCAGTGAGCCAAGATCGCACCACAGCACTTCAGCCTCAGCAACGGAGCAAGACTCCGTCTCAAAAAAGAAAAGAAAGAACACATCCTCACTGTTGGTAGTAGCCCACATCCCCTTAGTTGTGTTGTAGTCTGTTACCATGTAAGCATCCTATTCTAGTTCCCCTAACATTCTCAAGCGGCTGCATCAGAACCATTCAAGTTGCATGTTAAAATTGAAGATTTCTAAGTCTCTGGCCCAGACTTAGTGAGTCAGAAAAAAAGGACCTTTGAGTAATCAGAATAACACAAAGTACATGAACTCAACTGTATTTTCTTCATTCAAAAAAGTGGCCCTCACTCAAGCAAATATATTCTTTTTTTTTTATTTGAGACGGAGTTTTGCTCTTGTTACCCAGGCTGGAGTGCAATGACGTGATCTCCGCTCACCACAGCCTCCGCCTCCTGGGTTCAGGCAATTCTCCTGCCTCAGCCTCCTGAGTAGCTGGGATTACAGGCACGTGCCACCATGCCCAGCTAATTTTTTGTATTTTTAGTAGAGACGGCATATCACCATGTTGACCAGGATGGTCTCGATCTCTTGACCTCGTGATCCACCCGCCTCGGCCTCCCAAAGTGCTGGGATTACAGGCGTGACCCACCACGCCTGGCGCAAATATATTCTTATGCTTTATCTTCTAGCATACTGAGATAGGTTTCCAAAGTGCCGTCCAATTCCAAAATTCAATGATATGCAAGTCATTGAACAGCCCTAACCATAAACTGCCATTAGATGTCATACTACATTGAGCCTTTTTGTTGTATCTGCAGTGAAGCCAAAAGTCGGTTAGAAGCGGGCTCATGATCCTAGAGACTAAGTCATAGTCCCAAGAAGCAAAAGAAAAGAGGACAAAAGTAATAAACTTACCAAAATGTGCCAAAGATGCTAGAGCAATTAGAAAAAGATTCCTGGGCCGGGCGCGGTGGCTCACGCTTATAATCCCAGCACTTTGGGAGGCCGAGGCGGGTGGATCACGAGGTCAAGAGATCGAGACCATCTTGGTCAACATGGTGAAACCCCATCTCTACTAAAACTACAAAACATTAGCTGGG